TATTTACTTGTGTATGTTAAACTATTTCTGCAGCCCTGGGATGAAACCCATGTGATAATCATATATATCTTTTTTATATGCTGTTGGATTTAGTTAGCTAATATTTCGCTGAGGATTTTTGCATCATATTCAGGGATTTTTGTCTGTAGCTTTCTTTTTATGTTATGTAATTTGCTGGTTTTGGTGTTAGGGTGATATTGGCTTCATAGAATGATTAGGGAGGATTCTATCTTTCTCCATCTTTTGGAATAGTTTCAGTAGGATTGGTTCTAATTCTTCTTGGAATGTCTGGTAGAATTCAGCTGTGACTCTATCTGGCCCTAGCCTTTTTTTGGTTGGCAATTTTTAAATTACTGATTCAATCTTACTGCTTGGTATTGGTCTGCTCAGTGTTTCTATTTCTTTGTGATTTAATGTAAGAGGGTTGTATGTTTCCAGGTATTTATCCAATTCCTCTAGCTTTTCTAGTTTATGCGCGTAAAGGTGTTCATTGCAGCTTTGAATGCTCTTTTGTATTTATGTGGTTTCAGTTGCAATATCTCCAGTTTCATTTCTAACTGAGCTTATTTAAATCTTCTCTCTTCTTTTCTTGGTTAATCTCACTCTGCAGGGACAGCTTCTATTGATTGCTTGGCCTCCCCTACTGTGCACAGGTCATACTTTCTTGTTCCTTTGCCTTCTCTTAACTTTTGTTTAAAACTGGATTTTTTTTTCTTTTTTTTTTTTTTATTGCATTTTAGGTTTTGGGGTACATGTGATGAACATGCAAGATTGTTGCATAGGTACACACATGGCAGTGATATTTTAAATGATATAATGTGGCATTTGCAGAATCAAATTGTTTCCTTTTCCCAGGACTTGGTGTTATTGGTAGTTGTTTGTTTAGTAATTTTTCTGAACTAAATTTGTAAAATCTGCATTCTCCATTATGTGTGGCCACAGAAGTCCCTGCTTAGTTAGCTTAGTGGGCAACTAATGTCTGAACAGCAATTTACTTACACAGTGGAAACCATGTTTTCAGTACTTGTTGAAGGGCTCTGTGTTCATTTGGGAACATTCTCTCAAAATTCAGTCAGGCATTTGGAAATTCTAGCTTAACCTTGAATTTGGGCTCAGGGAGAGCCTCAAAGTCAGCTGGAATTGAGAAGTAAGGACTTTCGTGGGTCTTTCCTGAGTATGCACAGTCCTGGACATGTATTTAGAATTATATATGTGACTTTCTAGATTCTCAGGAATATGTTGGAACTTTTCTATGTTCTTATGGATATCTCATTTCCCAACTATTCTTTTTAAGCTTTTGGATTAGCCTATTATTTTTTCCCACCACGGCAGGTAGCCACAAATTAAACAATTTTATTATTTTTGGCAAGTACTCTGAGAAAAAGTCTTTCCCCAATAATGAGTTCAAAATGAGATCAATGAGACAGGCATGCAAGTATGATCTTCCAGAGAGGTACCAGACATGTCAAATAATAACAGAATTCTCTGGGGTTGAGCTTTAAAGATAGCTTTTTCCTGTGACTGTCAAGGTGATGATATTTTCGTGATTACAAGTTGTTAGTTTTCAAGGTTCCAGTGGACCTGAGTGTGAGGGAAGGGAGAATGGGAATACAAGTTAAAGTGCCACAAAGCTTGCTGTTCTTTCCAATATTCAGCCATTTTTCTTCAATAAATGCTTCCCAGATTGCTCCAATTCTTTGGTTAATTTTTAGAGTTTTGAAAATAATTGACCTATTCTTTTGTATTAAAATATGTAAACTCTTATATCCTCAATTTTATGGTGGTTTAAAAATACTAAAGATGACGATACCTTGGCAAGAGTGCCCAGGATTACTTATTTGTAAATAAAGAAAATCTACCGAGGAAAGATACCAAGCATTTGACCAATAAACATAGCTCTGTAGATGCAGCTTCAGCAAAAGCAAGATCAATAAAAGTCAAGAAGGGAAAGGTTTGAAGAGTTTTACAAGCACACCTTCAGGGGACAAACTGGAGCCTATTTTTTTACTAAAATCTGAATGGGGAACTGAACTCCAAATGTATACACCACTGGTTCCCTCCTATATTAATATTGTATTTCTATATGTCTCTTTTGTCACCTCAAAAATGTTCAAATATATTTTTTTAAAAAATAAGCAATCATTTCAGTTATGAATGAAACAAAACATAGTGCTTTAGAAGCACAATTTGTTCTTTTACAAAACAGTCCTTCTAGCTGAATCATTTTATGAGTCAGAAAACATGCCAGTTTTGCCAAACAACAACAGAAACATGTCCTATTTGGTAGTTGATTGCATTATCTCCATAGATTGGTAAATCATGTCATGTGTGGTTTATAGTGAAGTTCCAAATTTCTAGGTTGCCTCCTGGAAAGATTTGTCCCTCTTTCAGAGTGTTATGTAGCATGAATAATAAATGTATTCTCTTTGTCATGAGAAATAGCCTGAGAATGTTAAATACTTTGCTTATGATGAACACAGATTTTTTTTTTTTTTCCCGAACAGCAAGTTTACATTGTCTCTAAACTGTACGGTCAAGGAAGACTGTGGTTTTATCTGTAAAACCACTCTTAAAATTACAGGGCCAGATCAAGACATTTTTCTGTTCTAATATTTAGACCATGCTCTGTGAATTTTGTTGCTGTGTAGGAATTTTGTTTCAGGAGGTAGCAGGCATAAAGGAAGTGTTTGAGACGGAACATCCTTAACTACTCTTTACCCTATCCTGTCCACAGCACACACTCAAATGAAGAGATGAGTGATGTGCCAGACATTGATTTTAATATTTTTACATATAAAACGTTTCTAAACACTTTTATGTATATATAAATTACTAATTGAATTCACATTTTATAGATGAGAAAACAGAATCACCAAGTAATTTACCAGAAATCACATAGCAAGTGGTTATGTTGAGTCTACCCCAGTTCTGTCCAATAAAAATATAATGTGAACCTCATATGTGATTTTAAATGTTCAATAGCCACATTTACTACTTATATATATTTGTATGATAAGTTGTGTCTAAATTTGGCAACTTAAAACAATGAACGTTTATTATGTCACATAATTTATGAGGGTGAGGAATTGAGAGTGCTTTCGATGCTATGGTTCTGCCTCAGGGTCTTTTATGGAGTTGCAGTGAAGCTGTAGGCAGGAAATGGAGTCTGAAGATTTGACTGTGATTTGGAGATCATTCACATGGCTATTCACAAGTTCATTAACATGGCTAGTCTGGGAGGCTTCAGTTCTTTACAACATGGTTCCCTCCATAGGGTTCTCTCTGAGTTAGTGGTATGAAAGTGAGAGCAAGCCCAAGACTGAAACCAGTCTTCTGTGGCCTAATCTCAGAAGTGACATAACATCACTTCTACCATACTGTTTTGATCACACAGATCAATGCTAGTGCAGTCTGGGAGGGGACTGAACAAGGGTGTGACTACTGGGAGGGAGAAATAACGATGACATCTTGAAGGCTACCTAGCACAGATATCTTAATAAGCTAAAAAAGAAAAGTGACATTAATTTTAATAAGTTTTATTTAAAATCTGTATCTAAGATATTATACTTTCAATAACTTATTGATATAAAATTATCAAGATAGTTTACATTCTTTTTATGCTAACCCTTTAAAACCTGATATATATTTTCCATTTATAGTGCATCTCAATTTAGACTGTCCAAATTAAGTAGCCATATTTCAAATGCTCAACACACTGGCTACATTAGTGGTACTATATTGGAAATAACAGATCTGAACAGTATGTATAGGTCCAGATTTATGCTCTCAAGCACTTCTTGTTTAATCACAGAAAAAAAAATAGCTGATTTTTTTGGTCAAGCAATATCAAAGTCATAAAAGGGAATTTATCTACGATTTGTAGAAAATTGTAGCATTAAAAAGATTTGAACTAATATCACTCCTAAAACAAGAAGAAACAAAAAATTTTAGATGAATATTAGAAAATTTACTTTCATTAAATATACAATTTCCTTCATATGTTTCACAGAGTTAAACCATGTATTAAAAACAAGCTTTGGGCCATGCTTCCTACTTAAATTAATTTCTACCAGATAAATGGATTTTACCTATTAAGTTGTCAGGAAACTCTTAAGTAGCCATGTAGCTACTAGGCTGATACCACCCTCCCATGAATCACTAAGGAGACAGTGAGCCAGAGTTGCACAGCAGGCAGCATAAGCTTCTTGTCTCAAAGGTTGTCTTTGACCACTAAGACACCCTAAGCGACACAGGGAGGTACTAAACACATAATTGGGGAACTCTGAGCCTAGAAACCCCAAACATAGAAGGGGTTGCTGGAGAATTGCCAACTTTTGCCCTCCACGAAAAATTGTATTTATTATCCTGGAATATAAAATAATTCCTTTGAGTAGAGGATAAAGACTTTACTATCCTAGAATGTCTCTGGGGAGGGAGATATTATCATTTTTATACTAGTTGAAAACAAACCTACTACCTCTAGCTCTCGAAGTGTATTGAAATGCCATGAAGAATTCTCTTCCAACATAACTATATCCCTTAAGCAGTAAGACTTTATAAAAAATCATTTTTATTACACATGTGAAAAATTTAGAAAACTATTAAAATAACTGATGACAGAATTGAATTAATAGAATTGTTTCTATAAGAAATTAATTAAGGCTAAATGGCTAAAATTTATAAAATCTGCTTTGGTATGCCTGGGTACCAAATATATAATACATTAACCTTTTTAATTTGAACACGTTAACAATGACCATTGTTTCATTTGGAGAATTATATATTCCATCAATAGAAAATATGTATTACATTCAATCATTATTTGTTGTGTTTTCATCTATTGAAATAATCAATCTTTCTTCTTTAACTATTTTATGATTGTAGCTGATTTTTTATTTGACGAAAATATATTTCTATTGGACCTGTTGGAAAATCATTATACAAAAATATAAAATACATTTGCTAGCTTTAAATAATCTTTCAATCTTCTGTTTTTAAAGAGACTTTTTTAAAAGAAGCAAGGTATATAAGTCAGAAGTTGCTACTGTTTTTCCATCTGGATGTTATAGTGAAACATGACTCAGAGCAGCCCTAAATAGAGCTCCCTGCCTTTTAGATAGCTCACTATCCAATGAATCAGGGGCTAGTTTTCCAGATTTTCTGGGTCAGCTTCTCTTAAGGTATGTATTTCCCACTGTGCTCACTAAAGCTGAGTAAACTCAGCTATCTACCTTACAACTTATTTTCCTTGACAAAAGGGTATTTTGTATAAACTATGCAAGAAATGGGAATTAATCAATGTGTGAAAGAAAGTCAGGCTTTTAAAGTAATTTTAAGATCTATTTTTTGGCCTGCATTTTTTCTCTTGTTTTTTAGTACATGATCAGATTGTTTCTCTGCATCCTTTGGATAACTACCATGTATATGAGCTGAAAGACAAACGGATTTTGCAGTTCTAGGTTAAAATGATTCTGTTACTCACCTATGTGCATTTTAGATGCACAATTCAGATCAGAATTCTATTAGAAAGATCATTTTAAAGGAGGCTGTTCCACAGCCAGTGCTGCTCTGTAAGTTTTTCCTACTATTAATGTTTTATGTTCATCTTCTAAAATTTATCTTATCACTCCTGTTCCTTACCATCCCTCTTTCTTACATGCACAATTCTAAAAGCTTTCTATGATATTACCTTAACAGTACCAGCAGGAATGGACTCTTAGGAGCTAGATTGCCCTCAAACAATTGGATCTTCTGCTCCTTGCATCTTAACTGAAAATTGGTAGAGCCCATTTCTATAATTATACACAGTTACATTTTGGGGATTTAAAGGTTCTACCATTGTAGTGCAAGCAGAGTTCCCTATACTTCCTGAACTCCCACCCACCATATATGACAGCCTCCCCCACCAGCAACACATCACATAAGAGTAGTACATTTGTTGCAAGTAGTGAACCTACATGGACACATCATTTTCACCCAAAGTTCATAGTTTATATTAGGGTTCACTTTTGGTATTATACATTCTATGGGTTTTGATAAATGTAGAGTAACACATATCCACCTTGATAGTGTCGTACAGAATAGTTTCACTGCCCTAAAAATCCTCTGTGCTCTGCCTGTTCATCCCTCTCTCTCCTCTAATCCCTGGTTACCACTGACCCTTTTTGTTTCTCCATATTTTGCCTTTTTCATATAGTTGGAATCATACAGTATGCAGCCTTGACACATTGGCTTCTTTCACTTACTAATATGTATTTAAGGTTCTTCCATAGCTTTTCATGACATAATAAGTCATTTCTTTTTAGGGCTGAGTAATATTTCACTGTCTTGATGTGCTACAGTTTATCCATTCAGCTACTGAAGGGCATTGTGATTACTTCCAAGCTTTGGCAATTATTAATAAGGCTGCGATGAACATTCACATGCAGGATTTTGCGTGAAGATAAAGAACCCCAGTTCTTAAAGCTATAAGATGTATTTATTTTTCTGTTTTACAAGTAACACATGCATCTTTTTAAAAATTAGAAAATGGAAGAAAATTCAGGGAAGTAAATAAAACTCACTATAATATCATCACCAGAGTTATCTAGCATTAATGTTAGGTACAGTTATTTCTGTTGTTTTTCAATACATTGTGTACCTGCATACATATAGACACATGCTTTAGCATAATGGGAAAAAATACCTTCTTCTGAGGACTTGCCTGTGTTAAGTAATCTTCAAAGCATGATTTTTATTTTCTAGATAATAGTTCATCACATGCATATTCCTTAACTTATTCAATCCATCCTGAACATTGCCATTTATACAATATGTACTATGAACAGCCTTTTAAAATAAAACTTTATCTGCATTTTTGATTATAATTATTTTATATACATAGAAGTAAAAATGTGTTTAAAGATCTGATTCATATTGTCAATCACATTTCATAAAGGCTCTGCCAGTTTGCATTCCAATCAGGAACTTTTGAGAGGACCAATCGAACTGCTTTTTTAAGGCTGTGACTTAACTGTCTTTCCCATCCCATTTTTTGAGTTAATAGTATTATAATAATTTCCACATAACAACAGTCACCTGTTTAAAATATACAATTCAATGGCTTTTAGTATCCCTGTCTCCATTTTTCTTAGCAACATGAAATTTAAAATCTTCAGCATCCTTGAAAATGTCAGGGCCTGATAGATGTAGCAGAGGGTCACACTGTCAACAATGCCCTGTAGCCAGGCAGGGGAACTAAGATGTGCAGCGCTTGGGTGAGTCAAGCAAGGAAAGAGTTGTTCTTATAAGGGTGTCTGTTTTGACCTGCTTCTTTCTGGAAGTGTAAGTAAACATGGCCAGAAATGAATGAATTAAAAAACTTTTAGAAATGAATTGTTAATTGGCTGGGGATAGTGGCTCATGCCTGTAATCCCAGCTCTTTGAAAGGTTGAGGTGGGAGGATGGCGTGAACCCAGGAGTTCGAGGCTGCAGTGAGCTATGATTGCACCATGACACTCCAGCCTGAGTGACAGCAAGACCCTATCTCAAAAATAAAAAAAAATTAAATATTAAGAGATGATAATCATTATTTGCAAATAGTAGCATTACCCAGAAAGACAGAGGTCAAATGAGACAAAGTATTGAAACTTGGTAAGATGACAAGATGAACAAATATGTTAAACACCTGTATATAAATAAATGAATATATACTTACATCTAAGAATACATACAGTTATAATTTTCTATTTATAAACACTTAGACTATAAAGGGATAACATATTTTACAACTTTAACTCATTTATTTACCTAAAAAGTATTATAAAAGTTTACTTATTTATTAAAAATAAGCAGATGTATGTGCTTGAATCAGAAAACTGAATATTATAAATTTATCAATTGCATATGAATTAATTTATATTCAACACAATGCAGAATATAATTTCCGTATTATAATCATAATTATTATTATGTTGCCTCTTGAGAGAGTAATTGTAAAAATCACTTGGGAGAATAAACAAGTGAACATATTCAAGCAAATATTTAAAAAATAGAATAATGAGGGAATACTTGTCCTACCAACATTAATGCCTGATACAAAGTTCTAATAAATGGCACTGTATGTTGCTTACAGAAAATCAAAAACTGCATCAATAAATTACTTTAACAATGGTGGTGCTAGTTGTTATAGAAGCATCATGGTGGCCCAGCAGTCCCAGCACTTTGGGAAGCTGAGGTGGGAAGATCACCTGGGGTCAGGAGTTCGAGACTAGCCTGACCAACAAGGAGAAACCTCGTCTCCACTAAAAGTACAAAAAATTAGCTTGGAACGGTGGTACATGCTTGTAATCCCAGCTACTCAGAAGACTGAGGCAGGAAAATCGCTTGAACCCAGGAGGCGGAGGTAACAGTGAGCTGAGATTGTGCCGTTGCACTCCAGCCTGGGCCACAAAAACGAAAATCTGTCTCAGAAAGAAAAAAAAAAAGCATCACAGCAACACTTTTAATTTGACTCTAGTGCCATGCACTTAAGCTCAGAAACAGACTTTAATGTAGAGTATTACTTCCTGTTTGATAACGTTTTTACTACACAAATGTGTTTAAAGGAAGAATTATTTAGTACATTGTTCTAGTATAGTTAATAATGTAGTAAACAATAGATCAAATTGTATCAACATTATACCAGATAGCAAAATAAATTTGAAATAGATGAAAACATTACATTTTAAGAAACACTGTCTTATGTCTATATTTGAAACAACGTTCAAGTTGCAAATATAATGGAAAACCATAAGGAAACAATATATTTGAGTACATGAAATGATCCTTTCTGTCATAAAGTCAAAAAAAAAAAACTGAGGAAGAAATGTTTAATAGCACAGTAAAATAACTCAATTTTTAAAAGACTGGATGTCACTAAAATGAAAAACAGAAAAAAAACAATAAAAATTCTAGTAGAACACTAATGAGAAAATGGACAAAGCTTAAAGGAAATTCAAATGGCTTATAATTATGTAGAAAATTAGTTTGTACGAACACAGGAACAACTGTTTCACATATGTAGCTAGCTAAGCTTTTGCAATTATGAAATTGAGAAAAATATTATGAAAGGGTCACTCTTAAACCTAACTAAAGAGTGTATGCTTCCTGAAAATAAATGTGATCATAGAGTGAGTAGCCTCTTTGAAAATACATGTGACATATTTTGAGTTCCATCTACATCTTATGCATGTACAGAGATAATGATTGATGATAGGCGTATACTTAGTCTTAGTTCTGCCATCCTGGAACCAGCAATCTGCTGAGACAAGAGCCTTTAAAATGTTTAAAGCTTTAACTCAGTGCTTCCACTTGCCAAAATCAACTCCAAAGAAATAGCAGTTTTAGAATTATTTATAATAGGAAAATAATAGAATCAACTTAAATGTCCAACAGTGAGGAATCGGATAAATTCTGATACATCCTTATAATCTGTTAACAACTATATTTGTGAAAAATATTTTAAAGCCTGGGGGTTTATTAATGGTTCAATATTAAATTCAAATGAACTGTCTATAGTGAAGTCTCAAAGTTGTTCAAAATATTTTTATCTCTCTCTATATATATCAAATTTTAAAAAGTCAAAATTTTAAAAGAGGCTATTTCAGTTCAGTGAGAATGAGTGATTTTAATTTTATTTTAGATTTGTTAAAATTTTTTTAAAGAATATATATATATACTTATACACACGCACACACATACTACACATACATACAGAGAAATGCAAACACACAAATAAAAATTTAGACAGAGCTTCTTGGTGTGTTTTAGTGCTTTGATTTAACAATTTTCTCATTTATAAAGTAGGGAAAACATTAATATTATTTGTCTCACAAAATTCTTCTGAGGATCAAATAAATTAAATGAGGAGATTAGCTTACTACAGACCTTGGCACATAACAAGTATTCAATAATAGTGGTAACATTGTTATTTTCATTATTATCTTTTAAAAATGTGGAGGGGCTCATCTGTTTCATTAGCCCCAGCATGGGTTGGCCTTGAATTTTCTCAGGACAACTCTATTCTCTTTACTATGAAAGTAACTTCCTTTTGGCTTTTTGCAGTAGTTGTTCTATTATTCTTAGTTTTTGATGATATGGTAAGTTTTTATTTTTTTCTATCATTTTCTCTGTGTTTTGTGTATACTTTATTGGGAGGTCA